TGCACAATGCTCGTGATCATGGTCGGACCTCCTACGTACCGGTGTCCATGAGAACAAATAAATGGGGGTGGGGGTGTTTTGAACAAGCAGCCAATCACGTATTGCGAAGTGAATTCTGGTATAAGATTATTGCACTGCTCTATTTTGTAGTAAGTGAGTGAAGAGCATATTCTTGCGATATCATCACAATTCGGGATGCGATAATTCACTCATTCCTCTGAATTATCATTACCATCGGGTTTCAGTCGTTTTGTTTAATCACGGGTAACACTACTAACTACAAATGTAAATCGAACAAATCAGTCCTAAATTAATCAAGCGATTAGTTAAGTCTTGACAACTACCGGTTTAGTGTATCACTCACAACAAACCATTGGAAACTGTTATCAATCTTTCACTTTCTCTGTCACGCATGTACGAGCAAGCGGTCGAAATATTCACAAACACACGGGTTGATGATCAAATGCATTGCGCGAGTCACTCGTTAAAAGTTGGAGTTATCGACAGTCGTTTTCTGGTTTACCACAATTTGCGAAGAACATGCAGATTTGTGCATAAAAGTTGGCCGTTGGCATTATGCAAATTAATATACATCGGGTTTTTTCATTCAAGCGCAATCACCCCAAAATTGTCCATTTACCGAACCAAATGAAGCAGACCGATAGCTTAATTGCATATTTAGATTCTGGACAAATAAACCGCTCTCTAATTATAATAATATTACCCAGGGTAAAGAATAATTTTAACAACTTATCAAGATTTTAGGATTAATTTAGCCGCGAAAAAATGGTGGAAATGCAAACTCTGAAGACATCTAAACAACTGTGTGCTAATTATCGTCAGTAGCACGACTATATCAACCCAAGTATAGGAATCACAGCTTTGCGGATTTCACAGATAGAATGCAAGCATACTACCCACTCGATCATCGGAACCTGATTGGATTTTTCCGCGCAGTTTGCCCATAACCCCGATACGGTCCATCCCACCTTTTCAAGCTTAGTGTAAGCATTAAGCATAGCTCAAGGGAGTACGATCTGATATCAGACATTCCAAACGTGACTGTTATGTACAGAAAAATAGCAAATTCATGTGCTAACTACATTCGACTTGATCAGCACTGCTAGGTTATCGATTTTCCTATTAATCTTTAACAATCTGTTCCAATCCTTGGTTTTTATCTTATAGTTATTTTTAAATGCCATAAATGAGGTTTGATCTCTTGACTCCTTGAAGTACGTACAAAAATCCATTGTTCTTCTGGTCATTAGGGAAAATAAATTATACAAAGTAGCTCAGAAAAAGAACTGTCGTCAATTGATAATGGCATACTTGCAGCCACTAAATCATGTCCACAAATGCCAAAATTTTTATGTCATGCTCCGTTTTCGATTTTAAGGATGTCTTAGAACCCTCTCTTGGTGCTTACTTGACGCTATAACGGCACACTGAATCATGATCGAAATATCTCCTTGAATTAATTGAAATAACTGTTTTTTCATAAATATGTGACATCGATGGATTGGCTAAGTTATGAATGTATGCTTGTTTCCGTCTGGAAATCGAATTTTCGGCTTGTGCGGTATATATGAGCTGCACCGGGTCGGAATGAAGAGGGAGTTATTTATATGATTAGGAATATAAACACAATGTATTTGGTATTTATCTCTCACAGAAATTTATGATTGAAAAATACAAAAATAAGCAGAGATATGCATAGATTAACTGAGTTTCAGTGATCGCAAACTTCAAAATGAATGATGGCATGCGAGGCAGACATTCTAACCTAATTCGGATTTCGACCGAACCGATCCCAATTTTAATGGGCTCCAGGGACGTGTACGTGTGTGTGGTGTGTCACTTCGTTAATGATTGCTGGTACTGTCAAATCACATGGATGAAAGATGTGGGGAAAGCTAAATAATCTTCAAATTAATTACGTGACTACTTTATTGAATGACATACTGGCAGAGTTAGGTGACACAAATTTCGTTTGCATGTGAGAGAATCCATCCGAGAAAAATCAATCTAGAAGAGTCATTGGAGTGATTTTATGTTAGAGTTCGTGGTATAAGATTGATTTGACAAAAGATTACCGAATAAGCCTACCTGATGAACTACAAGGGCAACAAAAAAATGTAGTGTGCTCCTGGGAAGTTTTTCCAGTCTTTCATGCACTACTTATGATAAAAACACTGAAAGTACTGACTGACTAGTAGACTGTAACCGATTGAATGATTAACCGACCCACCGAACTCCATCGCGGTTTCATCACAAATAGAAATGAATAAAGACAGTGAATTAATCTTAAGCAATACGACCAGTCACCCCAACATGTAACCATTGTCGAAGAAACTGATCTGCCCCGTTCAACAATTGTGGTTCCACTGCAACTTTTCTGCATGTACCACTACTTGTAGAAAGTTGTATAGATGTATTCAAGTGGTCTGGTTACTTACTTTTCAAGGTTGGTTACTTCACCAAATCTTTTCAAAGTAATGTACATTCCACGAATCCTTTTCAATAATAACCTCAATACAATACGCAATCGTTCATGTTGGAATTATGGGTACCTCGTAAAGCAGCTATTTATGTCTGAGCTGATGGGAACTTTTCCTTCTCTTTCCGGCTGTTTACATTGTGGGAACTCCTCGAAATAACTCAAGTGTAAAAATGTGACCGGAACCTGCACCTTACCCACGGTGCTAATCTACGCGGGTCCTTTGGAACGCACAACAATAACACTTTACCAAGAGGACTAGTACTTTCAACCGATGTGTCCATTGCCTTACTGTATCACACAATCCCCCTCACCCAGCGTCCTCAGACAAGGTTGGTCTAAGGGGGGTGCTAAGATAAATCTAGACCCCGAAACACATTCCATCGTCTCAGCTAAATGAGCGTGCTAGAATGGAACCAAATTGTCACTGGAACTGCTATCCTTCGAGAATGGTGGTGGTGGCAATGGTGCCAGTTTGCGTCTCTCCCATGAGTCACATCTATTTCAAGTTCAAAGATCCCGCCTCATTAAAATGTCTCTATCATTCTGTGCTCCGGACCTGGTGCACCTATTCATAGTTCACCTGGTCTGTTTGCACCATCCACTCTGATGTCTTTGGTAGTGTCGTTGATGCTGCCGCCTTTAGGCATCAATAGAAAATATTCAAGGGAGGTTACTGTTCCCTTCACTCCCCCGCTCCGGCTTTGCTCTCTCCAACGGAACTCTCCATCAACCCCCGAACCCCCTATAGGTTCTACCGTGCCGGTAAGATAACGATGCTTTGGGGACCGAGGTTGAAATGGACTCGACTCGGGGTGTGAGGTTCTACATTTCCCCCTTGCAATGCACACCAGTTTTCCCAATATAGCCGGTCAGCTGATTTATGATTGAACAAGCGCATGGCCTGTAATTTTCATAATACAGAAAGGACGATGCTGATGGGTCAACCTTAAGAGGAGTCCAACAGGTGGATGGTAAAAGGTTGGAATAGAGATGATTGAAAACAAACAGCACTTGAATCGCTTATGTCTGTGTGCGTGTTCTTCCCGTTGCTGCTGCTGTTGAAGATGATGAGTCACATAAAACAACGAGAGTAAAGGTCAATCCAAAGCGTTGCCGTTGATCGCAAGCCGGATGGGAAACAGAGAGCGAATTGAATAGGGCGGCGCCACAGCGTTTTTCATACACACTACCGAATACCAGGCCTATTATGGAGGAGATTTGCCGATAATACAATCACTTCTGGTCCATTGTGTCCGCGAATCGCTTTCAAAATGCTTCCTGTGGATGTGAGTTATCAGTAAATCTCTGCATAGGCCCCGGTGAAATTTCGCAGATTCCTATCGGGACGCACGAGTTAGGAATTGACTCAGTTCCTGAGTCACGATGAGAAGAATGGGAACAGAGGTCCGCCACAAATACACTGTTTGAGCCCCTTCCCCCTCAGAAAAACCTCATTTAGAAACGAAGTGGTTATATTAACTTTGAGAGACATCATTTTCAAGGATGGCCCAATTAATAAAATACCAAC